ATTGGTTTCCCTTTTCTTTGTTGAAGAGGGTCTGTGCAATCCTTCTGCCTAGTCCGCCATCTTGCCCCGCCTCCCCCATCTTCCTTTCGAAGAGTGTCTGGTGGGTTTTAACCACCAGCCTGCTGGTTAGCAGTCAAGTGCCTTAGCCACTATGCTACCAGAGCTCCCCCTCATGAATTAGTGAGCCAAAAATAAACACAGGCAGTTTGGCTTAGGTTCAAAATTGGAACTGCATTCTGCTTTGGAATTATAATGTATTATAATCATATAAATTATAATGCTTCATTTCCCTGTACCTCTTTGGGGTGTAATTTTAATACCCTGTACTTCCAGACAATAAGGAGCAAAATACGCAAGGTGTAGCTGTGCTGTGTACAGTTAACTTCTTCTTACCATTGAATTGATTCTGACTCATGGTGGCCCCAATGAAACAGGGTTTTCATTGGCTGATTTTCAGAAGCAGATTGTCAAAGCTTGGTTACATCTCAGTCTAGAAGCTCTGCTGAAACCTGTTCAGAATCATAGCAATACACCAGCCTCCACTGACAGACAGTGGTGTCTGTGTATGAGGTGCACTGCAACTCCTGATAAAAATAAGGCAGGACCCTGTGGCTGGTTTTTGGAATCTAAAGAGCTTAGTTTTCCAACCTCTCTTTTTCATCCTCCATTCTTAGTGGTCACTCTTAGGACAGCCAGAGATGTTCACATTGTTTCCAACTTGCAGCTTCTCTTCAGATTATATCAAATGCAAATTAATGTGGAGCTGATCTAGCTAAAGAGTTGGGCCAGGTTCAGTCTCACCTCCTCCTTTCCCGCCCATCCTACACCCCCAACCAGGTGGCTTCCCCTCACGGAACTCCTGGGTCAGTGCAATGACGTTTAAAAGTTGTTGCTGTAGTCCATGAAATTAATTCTCTACAATAGCACAGCCCTTCAACCTCTTGACACTTTTAATTGTTTAATCGGCTTCCTTCCAGCATAAAATCCCTGAGGGCAGGCCCTGTGTCTGGCTTGCTCACCCCCAGCCCTTAGGCACAGCCTGAAACACATAATTATTTGTTGCAGATGGGAAGGGAAACTGCCTGTCTGTATAAAAAGAGCATAGAGTATAAATGAGAACTGAGCTCCCAGGCTTGTCTGCCTTTATTGGCAAGACCGGTAAACTTTCTTGACCTCAGTACTTTCACTTATGAAAGGGAGGTACCTCAAGCTTCCTTCCATCTCTAAAACCCCAGGACTCAGGACCCATATCACAATTTTATGCCACCTTCATGTTATTAAGAGAAGAAGATCTAAGGAATTTGTCTTTTAAGTGTAAAACAAATTTTAACTTTTTATTAAGCAAAAAACAGCACCTGGTTGGACACTAACATTACATCTTTCTGTGATTAAAGCATGACTTATTCTCTCTTGTTAAAAGCTTTCTCATTTCTGTGAGACCCTGGAATTCTATTAAATAGAAGTTCACTAATTGAATTAAATCACAACTAAAGTTAGTGAATGACAAAAGTGAGAGGTCTAAACGCAACAAAAAGTTATTGAAGATTTATTTCTGACTTCTGGGGCCTTTCTTCAGCCAAGGCTATATTTTAACATTAGAACATCATTCTGTGTATTATATTTTAGACGATGAGACTGAAATGCCACATTTTATTATCTAGGTCTTTGCCTTTGCCTGGGAGTCCCTGGGTGGTACAAATGGTTAAGTGCTCCACTAGTAACTGAAAGATTTGGGGTTTCAGCTCACCCAGTGTACCATTCAGAAGAATTCAGAAGGCCTGGTGGTCTACCTCTAAACCGTCACAGCCACGAAAACGCTGTGGAGCACAGTTCTACTCTGAAACACATGGGGTCACCATGAATCGGAATTGATTCAACAGCACGTGGAATGCCTTTGCTTTTGATTCTTCAAACAGTGATGCCTCTCCCATGAGTAAGTTAGGAATTTGAGGGGGCCAAGATGGGGAAGACAAGACCAGCCTCCCTGCAGGGGTCTGAAGGAAACACCTGCTCTCTGTCAATGTATTTTGGGCCAGAAAACAAGAGTGACCTCTGCTAACCATTGTCCTTTCTTCCAGGTGGAAAGGGGAAAATGTGGCTACCACTGAAGTCGCTGACATAGTAGGACTGGTTGATTTTGTACAAGAAGTGAATGTTTATGGAGTGCCTGTTCCAGGTATACACAAGATGTAACCAATCTGTACCTACACTAGTATAGTAATTGAAGATAATTTTAACTCCAGGGCAGACTCTCATTTCTTTCTCATGGCAGCTGGAGAATAATACAACTCTTTCATCCACCAGGGAGTCAGGAGCTTATGTCTAGTTAAATTCCATTATAAAAGCTAGGTCAGCACAGGCCTTCCTCTGCGGTTCAGCTCCCTAGCTGTTCTCGGGCTCTTAGGCAAGCAAAGTCTCTTTCTGATGCAGGATTCCCAGCTGTGTTTGGCATGCCTCGAGAAAAGAGGCATCACACCTGATAGCTGGATGATGGTATCTTGGCCTCTGAACCGGGAGACACAGATAAGAATATGTATAATTGCTGGGAGATAAACTGAGAAGGAAGTAATGATGCCCAGACTCTTTTTTTCAAAGCAGATCTCCAATTCCAGCCCACCCTACAAAGGGTCAGAATCAATACACAGACTATTGTTACCAAGGCTTCATCTGCATATCTGCTTCTGCCAAGGCTTGAGTATGAGTCCTAATTTAGTTTGCTAGCTATTTCATTTCAGGCAAATCACTAAAGAGAGGGCTAATGCCTGCCCACAGGTAATATTGTCAAGAGAGCGAATTCATATTAATTACATAAATACTAAATATATATTTGTAAAGTATAAATATGAGGATTATCATGAGAAGAAATCACTTTAATTATAAACGCCAGAGAGAATTGAACTGTCCAAATTGCTGTCCAAATCTAAGGTGCTAGGGGTATTATTATTCCTACAGAGCTCAGTATTTGGGGTTCTCATTCATGTTACAAGTGAAAATCCAAAAGCCCCTTTTTCCTGAGCTGTGATGGTTTCATGTGACTTTGCGCTATCCTTTGATTTTTTTTTTTTTTAAAGAATATTGCCATTTCCTCTGACTCTGTGACAGTGACAAGACAGGAAGTATAACAACATCTTGGATCACAGAGTGTGAGGGGGACACAGGACACTTCTCATATTTGTCCAAAGGAGGATCAGTAGAGATCGTTAGCTGAATGAACACATGTCCCAGTCACGGTTGTCTTTTCTCAATTCCCAAGTGAGTCTGACAACCAGCAAGGTTTGGAAGGCAGTGACAGAAAACCAAGAAGAGGCGGCTAATGACCTTCAGATGACTGGAAGTCAGTCAAGAAGGACAAACAAGTGTGCTCCATGTTGCTCTACAGATCAGAACTAAAACCCCAATAGGCAGAAAGGACCAGGAAGCAAAGTTTAGCCTGAGAACTTTCCTTTGACCAGAGGGCCAACAAGAGAATGGTCTCTCCTGAGATAGGGAGTGCCCCACCACCTGTACCTTGTAAGAGAAGCTTGGTGTCTATCTGGTATTCTGTGAGAGTTCTTACATAACAATTAGAGATGACCTTTGAAATCCCTCCCTACTCTGATTCTGTGGTTATCAATGCCAAGCTTGTTGCTGTCTGGCCTCCCATCCATCACCAGAGACCATTCTAGAAATGTGGCAGATCTACCTAAAGAAAGGTATTAGTCCACCATAGGTGACTAAGAGGGCTGACCAGTGCCTTCACAGAACTCAACTTTGGACTAAGCAAACTTCTAGGTTTGGACCTGGAAAGGAATTGAGTTGACTTTTTTTTCTAGGTGTCACTCCAGAACTGCTCAACTCTCTAGAACAATGGAATAGAATACTTCAATAACAGTAACAATAGTTCACAATAGAACTTTCTACAATGATGAAAATGTTCTCTATCTATTCTGTCCAATATGGTGGCAGATCACCACATGTGGCTATCAAGCACTTGGAATGTGGCTTGTGCTACTGAGGAATTAAATTTTAAAATTTTATTTAATTACAATTAATTTTAATTTTAATACCCACGTGTGGCTATTGTTGTTGTTAGGGACCTGAGTTGAGTTTTAATTCATAGCAACCAATGAGTAGAACTGCCTGATAGGGTTCTAGGCTGTAATCTTCATGGGAGCAGATCACCAGGTCTTTTCTCCTGAAGAGCTGCTGGATAGGTTGGAACCATCAACTTTTCTGTTAGCATCCAAACCCTTAACCATTGTGCCACCACTGCTCCTTTTATAACTACCAGTCAGGGGTACACTAGAGCAACCCTGGCCAGAGCCGATCTTTAGACCCAGCTCATAGCTGCTGTAGACCAGAACCTTCCTTCCTAGAGCTAAACTAGTCCCAAATCAGTCTCTGGGAGTTGAGGCAAAGGCCTCAGACTCAGCAGGCCCATCGTCTATCTCTCAGACAGTCATTGCCACTGCCAGAGCAAGAATAAAGGAGGAGCCAGTTGAGACTGAAGACTTCCCTTGCATCAATCCACACCTTAACTCTGAAAGGAAATTACTGGAGACATTCGAGATTCCTGAGAGAAGTGCCTTTTGGACACCTACCAGGGACCCCTAGAGATTGAGAGTCTGGTGCCCTGCCTTCCTCCCTCTGATAAGAGGGAAACCCAAAAGAGGGTGCTTTTCCTTTCTTTTAGTTTTTGCTTTTGTTTTCTGCCTTCTTTAGAGCCACTGGTAAACACGCAATCACCATGGGAGGGATTTCGAAAGCTGGGGCCCCGGTGAGAGGAAGGCCAGCTCCTTCTCCCTCTCTGATTACAGCTTAGTAAGTAGTTCAGGGAAGTGGGGCTGGCCCCCCCTGGGTCTGCTGGATCATGTAGAAAATATATTAATACCTAATTGCCACCGTCCTCACAAGAAAGCAATGGTAATTGTTCTAAACATCTCTGCACTTACCGGCTCTGCCTGACGGGGAAGAAAGAACTGTTATTAGGATCTGTTTTCTTGGTGGCAACCTCTTGGGAACTAACAGGTATCAACATGAGGGCACAACACAACTCACCTTTGCACCTCACCTTCACCTTCCTGTCCCTCAGCTTCTGTGAGATGCAGGAAGGCAAAACTATTAGGAATCTTGATTAAATAATAAGTCTCAGAGGTGGCCTTTGTGCCTGGAGGCACGACAGACCTGACACTACAGCCTAACGAACAAACTGAACTCAGTTATTCATTGAGCTGGTCACTTGCTTTTGGTATATTGCCTTTCCCTTCATCCAGATCAATGCATGTCTCTTACCTATCTAGGAATTTTTCTCTCCCCTCCCATGGTGGCAAGGACTGTTTACTGGAGTCAAACACACTTCCTTTAGCCAACAATTTGACTTGTTTCATCAAATTGTTTTCATCAAGGCTGCTAAGAGGAAGGTGATGGTTATAAGCATGGGATCTGGATCCAGCCTGTAGTTGTTACTGTTGTGTACCATCAGGTCAATTCTGACTCATAGTGACCCTATAGGATGGAGTAGAACTGCCCCGTTGGGTTTCCTAGGCTGTAATCTTTATAAGAACAGATCATCAAGTCTTTTCTCCCAAGGACCTACATTCAATTTCTGACCCTGCTAAGTATTTGCCATATGACCTTGAACAAGTCTCTTAACATCTTTAAGCTTCAATTTCTTCATCGGGGAAATGGAGACATCATTTTACTTATTAGGGTTGTTGTGAGGATTAAATGAGATAATCTATAAAACACTTAATTTCAGTATGTTGTACATCAATATCTTCCTATTATTACTAGTACATTCACTTTAAAATAAATTCAATAGATATTTGAAATTAAAATTCCACCTATCCAAAAGCAACTGAAGCCATAACATTATCTCAGTTCAGTTCTTTGAACTAGCACAGCATCATAAATAAATTAAAAATAGATAGAAAAGAGCCATTTTTCTCATTCTATTTCTAGGTCATGAAGGTCGAATTGGCATGGCCTCAATCAAGATGAAAGAAGATCATGAATTTGATGGAAAGAAACTCTTTAAGCACATTGCTGATTACCTACCCACTTATGCAAGACCCCGGTTTATAAGGATACAGGTGAGACGTCTTATTCAAGCATCCCTCCTCTTGGAGACCCTGATCTCTAAGGGAACAACTCCCTTGCTACCATGGCAACCACAATTGCTATATCTTCAATACCCTTTTCAGAAAGAAGGGTCATAGGTTAGTAAGAAAGAAGTAGTATCAAAAAATATACCAAAAAAAACCTCACTACCATCGAGTCAGATCCGACTCATAGCGACCCCTCCTTGGGTTTCCGAGGCAGTGTCACTATGGAAGCCCAGAGTTCCTTCCAAGGAGTGGCTGGTGGGTTTGAACCACCAGCCTATGATTAGCAGTCAAATGCCTTAGGCACTATGCCACCAGAGCTCCCTGTTAGCTCTATTATATATGTGGACATTCTTGTAACACATACAAATACATATATAGAAATATCATCTGCAAAACTTATCTATGGTCATGGGTATATTCCCTTTTGCCTACCCATACCTGGTCATTCTGCCTATCTACTTATGTATCCATCCATAGATTAATGTTTGTTATTACTAAAAATGCAGTATTGTGTATGTAAAAGTATTCACCCTTATTGTCTGTACCTCTTGTGCAACTCTCTATGTCTTCCTTTTCCTTAGTGTTATTGAGCTGGTCACTTGCTTTTGGTATATTGCCTTTCCCTTCATCCAGATCAATGCATGTCTCTTACCTATCTAGGAATTTTTCTCTCCCCTCCCATGGTGGCATAGTGCCTAAGGCATTTGACTGCTAACCAGAAGGCTGGCAGTTCAAATCCACCAGCCACTCCTCGGAAGGAAGGTTGAGCAATCTACTTCCATAGTGATACTGCCTCAGAAACCAAAGGAGGAGTCACTATGAGTTGGATCTGACTCAGTGGCAAACACAACAACAACCACCACCCATCCCTGGTAACCAACAAAGAAAGTTTCCTTTCATGTATAAACCTTTCCTTGAGTCTTTATAATAGTGGTTTTGTACAATATTTTTCCTTCTGTGATTGACTCATTTCACTCAGCATAATATCCTCCAAGTTCATCCATGTTATGAGGTGTTCTGTGGATTCTTCATTATTCTTTAATATTACATAGTATTTCATTGTGTGTTTGTACCATGTTGTCGTTGTTGTTATATGCCATCGAGTCAGACTTGACTCATAGCCACCCCTCCTTGGGTTTCCAAGGCAGTATCTCTACAGAAGTAGATTGCCAACCTTCCTTCCGAGGAGTGGCTGGTGGGTTTGAACTGCCAGCCTTCTGATTAGCAGTCAAGTGCCTTAGGCACTATGCTACCAGAGCTCCTGTATGTACCATAGTTTGGTTATTCATTCATGTTTTGATGGGCACTTAGGTTGTTTCCATCTCTTTGCTGTTGTGAATAATAGTGCCATGGTGAACATGGGTGTGCATGTATCTATTCATGCCCTGGTTCTCACTTCTTTAGGATATATATACCAAATAACACTCTCAGTTTTTAACTTCTAGTTCTGTGATTCTTTATCTGAAGACTTAAGGAAAGAAATGTTAGGATAGCACATATTGCTGGGATTAAAGAGTTATTTCTGTTGAAGCTCATAAAGCATTAGCATTTGTTTTGCAACGAGACAGCAGAGCGACATGAAGCATCCTCAGATCATCACCTATTAATTGATGGAGAAACCAGTCTTCAGTCTAACAGACAAATAAGCTGAAAACTCAAGAGTTTCTGTGTGTAGATGATTCCCCATTCTGTGTGTAGATGATGAGGCTGCCATTCATTAAGGTATTTCGGTAGTAACTGAAGCCTTACCTAGCAACAGGAGCCACTCCTCTGCTAAGAAATGTATTCACACAAATACTTCGTTGTTGGCAACCCCTCACTCCACACAGGTAATTTTAAAGTTTTAAGGAAATGAAAACTACCCCCCTAAAGCACCCTCTAGTGGATATTGTGAAAACAGGCTGCATCAGAATTATAAAAAACATTTGCTTTCAGCTGTCAAATAAGCCAGAAGGAGCCCTGGTGGTGCAGTGATTAAACTCTTGACTGCTAACCCAAAGATGGGCAGTTTGAACCCACCAGCTGCTTCATGGGAGAAAAGATTTGGCAATCTGCTCTCATTAAGATTACAGCCTAGGAAACCCTGTGGGGCAATTCTGCTCTGTCCTATAGGGTTGCTGTGAGTCAGAGTGGACTTGACAGCCCACAACAACAAAGGAGCCAAAGATGCCAATGTATTGCCATTCCCACTGCCCCACTCCTATCCCTCGCCCTGCACCCTAATCTGTTTGCAAAACACTACAACAATGTGGATTGTTGGATGTTTTTCAGGACACCATTGAGATCACTGGAACTTTCAAACATCGCAAAGTGACCCTTGTGGAAGAGGGCTTTAACCCTTCAGTCATCAAAGATGCCTTGTATTTCTTGGATGACCAAGCAAAAATGTATGTGCCTATGACTGAGGACATTTACAACGCCATAAATGATAAAACTCTGAAACTCTGAATACTCCCAGGAGGACAGCTCATTCCCAGAAAGAAACTGAATGGGCCTAGTACAGCTACTGGATATAATCCAACTTAAATTTGATTGACAATTGTGAGGTACAGTTTTTCTTAGGAAATTATGCCTATGGGTAAGGGAAGTTTTTGTTTGTTTTTAATTACACCTGGAGTTTCGCAAATGAAAAGATTTAGAGATAATTATTTTTCAATTTGCACCTACTGTTTGTATTTGCCCACTGGGCATGTTGGAGGGGGGGCATTATTTTAAAAAACATGTAATAAAATAGATGAACACCAACATATGAGATAGCACTGCCTCTTGTCTACTTTCCTGACTTTAAATACAAGCCCTGTGACAGCCCACTCTAAAGTCCAACAGCCTCATTGGTAACTTTTGACAACTGTCCCACTTGTGGGACATGGTATTCTAAGTAAAAATGAGGGAAGAAGGGATCACCAATAGAAGACCCAATGGAAATTCAGAGGAGGCAAATTCTCCCACCTATGAACATTTGGCTACCATGTACAAACAGCATTATCCAACAGGTGATGATGCCATCTGTAGTCCTTGGAAAATCAAAAAAACAAAATCACTGCTGCCAAGTCAAATCTGACTCATAGCGACCCCTCCTTGGGTTTCCGAGGCAGTATCTCTACGGAAGTAGATTGCCCGATCTTCCTTCCGAGGAGTGGCTGTGGGTTTGAACCACCAGCCTTCTGGTTAGCAGTCAAATGCTTTAGGCACTACCCCACCAGAGCTCCTTGTAGTCCTTGAAGGAGGAGCCTAAATCTACAGTACCAGAGTTCTATGCATAAAAGGTGTTCAGCAAATATTTAGCTACGTCAAGGGCTGCACAGTCACATGCCTTCAGAATTACATAGGGAATGTGGATGAGAGAAGCAGGTCACAAATGAATGTGGCAAACTTGAAGATAACCACCACTCAGTCAGCTGATTATTAGGGGAATACAGGTCAGGTACTGCCAGATCTTCAGATTATTCAAAAAATAGAAATCCAGACAAATGTATGATTCTCTCAGTGTTTAAAATGTGAAGTTTCAACATTCTTAAAAAGTCCGTGCACACTAAACAAAATACACCTGTGAAGCAGGGTAAGTCCCAAATCTGTGAACACGCTCAATCCTACATGGCTGTGAGCCATGCCACACACTCTTCAAACATGAGTTGGTTTCACATCACAGCCAGTGTCCTGCCTAAAGGAGTCAGTCCAAGGACCAGGCCATTTCCCAGGAGGGTATGGGAACTTCTCCTGAGGCAACTCTTTCAGACACGCTCTTTCTCCTGCCACTCAGCTGCCTTCCTTCCTGTGTACAACTCTTACCTCTTGCAGCATGTGTCAGCTGCAAATGGCGTTCCCAGGAGCAGGTCCCTGGTGGCAGGACTCAAGACATGTTCCCTACCAGGACAACGTCCACATCCAAAAGGGTGACCCAAGTTCACCCCAGCTCTGGTGCCCTTCCAATCTTCTAGAGGTAGTGGAGTTTCCTTCCCTGGAGGACTTCCTCAGTTGATCAGGAGCTGAGTTGAGCAGTTCTTCCCCAGTGGAGACCCCATAAGGTCCCAGACAAACACATCTAGGGATCCTCAATGATACATGATTTAAAAACAAAAACAAACAAACAAAAAAAAAAAAACACTCCTTCCCCCGAACATGGCACTAGATTTTTTTTTTAAAACTCTCTTCAGTGTTTCAGTTGACCAGAATCCTTGCCTCCACTCCTTATGCCCAACGATAAATGTTCTTCTCTGAGAGCTTGATAGTCATAACATAATTGAGGATGGCCTAAGGAAAACTCTAGATATCTCTGCTGCTTTGTGCATTTGGCCAGTGATTTAGAACTACAAAAGGAAGGTTGGGCAATCTACTTCCGTAGTGATACCGCCTCAGAAACCCAAGGAGGGGTTGCTAAGAGTCAGGTCTGACTCGATGGCAAAATAAAAACAAGAATAACATGGTGATGTAGTGCCTAAGGCATTTGACTGCTAACCAGAAGGGTGACAGTTCAAACCCACCAGCCACTCCTCAGAAGGAAGATTGGGCAACCTACTTCCATAGTGATTGTTGTTGTTAGGTGCTATCGAGTTGTCCCCGACTCATAGTGACCCTGTGCACTGCAGAACAAAACACTGCCTAGTCCTGAGCCAACTCCATAATTCTTGCTATACTTGAGCCCATCACCGCTGCCACCATGCCATCCATCTCGTTGAGGGCCTTCCCCTCTTTCGTCGACCCTCCACCTTGCCAAGCATAACATCCTTCTTCAGGGAATGGTCTCTTCTGACAACATGACCAAAGTAGGTCAGATGAAGTCTGGCCATTCTCGCCTCCAAGGAGCCTTCTGGCTGCACTTCCTCCAGGACAAACCTGTTAGTTCTTTTAACAGGCCACAATACTTTCAGCATTCTTCGCCAACACCACAGCTCAAACGCATCAATTCTTCTTCGGTCTTCTTTACTCATTTTCCAGCTCTCACATGCATATGAGGCAATTGAAAATACCATGGCTTGTGTCAGGCGCACCTTAGTCCTCAAGGAGACATCTTTGCTCTTTAGTGCTTGAAAGAGGTCCTTTGTAGGCAATTTGCATAGTGCTATATGTCGTCTGATGTCCTGACTGCTGCTTCCATGGGCATCGATTGTAGAACTAAGCAATGTGAAGTCTGACAATTTCAATCTTTTCTCCATTTATCGTAACGCTGCTTATAGGTCCAGTTATGAGGATTTTTGTTTTCTTTATATTGAGATTTACTCCATACTGCAGACTGTATTCTTCAATCTTCATCAGTAAGTACTTCAAGTCATCCTCACTTTCAGCAAGCAAAATTGTGTCGTCAGTGTATTGCAGGTTGCTAATGATTCTTCCTCCAATCCTGATGCCACGTTCTTCTTCATATAGTCCAGCTTCTCAGATTATTTGCTCAGCATACAGATTGAATAAGTATGGTGAAAGGATACAACCCTGACACGCTCCCTTCTTGATTTTAAACCATGCAGTGTTCCCTTTTTCTGTTCGAATGACAACGTCCTGCTCTACGTACAGGTTCCTCATGAGTACAATTAAGTGTTCTGGAATTCCCATTCCTCTCAATGTTATCCACATTTTGTTATGATCCACACAATCAAATGCATTTGCATAGTTAATAAAACACAAGTAAGCATCTTTCTGGTATTCTTTTCTTTGAGCCAAGATCCATCTGACATCAGCAATGATATCCCTCGTTCCATGTCCTCTTCTGAATCCAGCTTGTATTTCTGGAAGTTCTCTGTCAATATACTGCTGCAACCATTTTTGAATTATCTTCAGTAAGATTTTACTTGTATGCAATATTAATGATATTGTTCAATAATTTCCACATTCTGTGGGATCACCTTTCTTTGGAATGGGTACAAATATGGATCTCTTCCAGTCAGTTGGCCAGGTAGCTGTCTTCCAAATCTCTTGGCATAACCGAGTGAGTGCCTCCAGCGGGGCATCTGTTTGTTGAAATGTCTCAATGGGTATTCTGTCAATTCCTGGAGCCTTGTTCTTCACCAATTCTTTCAGTGCAGCTTTGACTTGTTTCTTCAATACCATTGGTTCTTGAACATATGCCTTCTCCTGAAATGGATGAAGATCGACCAGTTCTTTTTGGTACAGCGATTTTGTGTATTCCTTGGTGATACTGCCTCAGAAACACGAGGGGTCGCTATGAGTCGGATCCAACTCCACAGCAGTGAGTTTGGTTTTGATTTATTGCTTAGGATTGGGAGCTCTGGTGGTGTAGTGCCTAAGGCATTTGACTGCTAACCAGAAGGCTGGTGGTTCAAATGCTCCAGCCATTTCTCAGAAGGAAGAACGGGCAATCTACTTCCTTAGAGATACCGCCTCAGAAACCCAAGGAGGGGTCGCTAGGAGTCAGAAAACAACTCAATGGCAGTGAGTTTGGTTTGGTTTTTTATTGCTTAGATTAACATTGGTAATTTGCAGAAGGGTATTTCTACCCTTATTTATTGATCTGCCAGTGAGAAGTTGGATCCAAATGATGGCTTAGCACAGCCTTTGCTTTTGAGAGTATCCTGTTGTGTAATTGTGTTACTTGGAATCTTGTCAAGGTTGTGTGAGATCATTCTGTGTCACAAAAGGCATCTTTTTGGGTGAGGTGTCAACACTTACACCATTAGCTGGAATACTAGGTGTTCCAGTACTCAGAGCATACTGGCCCCTGGTCTCCTTTGGTTCATGTATTAAACCTTCCAGTTAAAAACTCAGAAACCTATGTCCTTGATTCTTCCCAGCTCCTCCTCCCAGCTTAATGGCTTCCTCAGTCTCCAGCTTCCCTAATCCTCTGATTCTGACTAGAAACCACAGCTCCATGTGATAGATGGGGACACTGTGGTGGTACAATATTCTCAACACCTGGGTTTGGAAGTTTGCACATGTGAGTATGTGTAAACAAAATTAAGCTGTCACCTGTGGCAGCTGACAAACTTTAAAGACTTTTCTTTTTTTTTTTAAAGGTCAGGAGGTATGCCCATACAAATATCTGCACAAATCATCTTCTTCATTTGAAAGTTCAAATGAATATTCAAAAAACTGTTATCGTGGATTGAATTGTGTCCCCCCAAAATATGTTTCAACTTGGCTAAGTCATAATTCCCAGTAGTGTGTGATTGTCCTCCATTTTGTGATCTGATGTAATTACCCTCCATTTGATATGTTGTAAATCCTAACTCTGCCTGTGGTCAATGAGGCAGGACTAGGTTATGTTAAAAAGAATTATGTTTGTTATGTTAATGAGACAGGATTAGGTTGAGATGCAGCTCCTTTACTTAAGCACCACCCTTTCTCAGGTTGCAGCCCTGATCTGATGTAAGGGGAGTTTCCCTGGGATGTGGCCTGCATCACCTTTAATTTTGCAAGAGATAAAAGGAGAGAGAATCCAGTAGAGAGGGACTTCGATACAACCAAGAAGGAGAGATGGGAGCAGAGCATGTCCCTTGGACCTCGGGGTCCCTGCACTGAGAACCTCCTAAACTCAAGGAAAAATGGATGCCAAGACACATGGATATCTCCAGGAGATGCCAGGCCCACAGATGTTGAAAGGACACAAGGACCTTCCCTCAGAGCCAACAGAGAGAAAGCCTCCCCCTAGAACTGATGCTCTGAATTCAGACTTCTAGCCGCCTAAACCACGAGAGGCTAAAATTCTGCTTGTTAAAGCCATCTACTTGTACTTCTGTTACAGCAGTACTGAATAATTAAGACAACCATGAACTGATATCTGTGTAAATCATTCAGTCAGTTTGATTTC